TGTACTCGTAATTAATATGCAAAAGCTGAGCTTTGTCATGGTTAACAATGACATCATCATCTTAATAACTTTCACTTTTTTTCTATAGAAGAGGGGGCAAAAGAGCATGCGGCTCACCTGATGGTAAATGACTACCGCCGCCCATGAACAACCGCAACACCAGGAGAATTGCAGATGCGTTGCCGGCCTTTTAGAAAAGGTGTAAGCTCTTTCCTTGAAGGTTCGTAAGTCGTATCTGTCCGGAAAATTCGCTGGTGGTAATTGATTCCAAAAGGAAGTTGTGCGAGGGAGAAAACTTCTTCTAAATCGAACAGTGGTGGACCGCCAATCATCCAGATGGTATGGATGATAACGCGAGTTTTGTCGCGATGTGCGATGGTGAAATTGAGCGGCTGGAATTAGTCCGAACAATTCCTCAGAGCACTCCCAGAGATCAGAAAGAACTCGGTCGTCGACGATTCGAAGCGCTCTGCGCTAGATGCGGTCAAGTGGAAGGAGCTGGCACTAGGGTGGCCCGGCCCAGAGATGAGAACAGTATTTCATGTGGGGCTGAACTTGCGCTTTGTAAAGTTGCAAGCGATGTGCCGGCATGAAATACTGTCTCGCTCTGCTGAGCACCCAAATCTTTTTAGAGGCCAATTTGGCCTTCCCTTCCAAGTGACCACGAAATTGCACACTATTCTATATGTCGACGCCAAGGATTCCGATACTAGCTGAGGCAGCAAGGGGAGTGTCTTGAAACTGAGGAGATACGACAAAGGGGTTCTTTTTAGCGGTAAACGCGTAAACTTGTGTCTTCTGGGGATTGAACTGGACTAGATTTAGTCGGCCCCAATCCGAGATTTTGTTCAGCAAAGACTCGACTTCAGACATAAGTTTGTCCCGGTACTCAGCGACGTTTTCCCGAGAAATATTGGCACGGCCAGTATATAAGGCATCACCAGTGCTGTCGTCTGCATAGCAATGAATGCTACCAGTTAGCAACATATCATTGATATGCAGGAGAAACAGCGTTGGTGATAGCACGCAGCCTTGTGGAACACCAGCGTTGATAGGCTTGAAATCAGAGCATGCACCGTCTACTACGATCTTGATGCTCCGATCAGCAAGAAACTGGTGATTCATTTGCACAATTTCTCGGGAAGCCCATAGGAAGGAAGCTTCGAAAGAAGCGCTTTGTGCCAGACCCGATCGAAGGCCTTCGCTATGTCCTAACTAACGGCCAATGCCTCCCCCTTGAACCCTACTGCCTCCGCCCATCTATGAGGCAGACAGACTAGAAGATCACCAGCTGATCGACATCGACTAAAACCGTACTGGCGGTCACTAATCAGCTGGTGATCCTCAAGGTACCTCATGAGCTGGCAGTTTATAATGGATTCCATTATTTTGGAGAACAAGGAGGTAATGGCAATAGGCCTGTAGTTGGACGGGTCTGAGCGGTCGCCTTTTTAGGGATCGGGTGGATCAAAGCAGTCTTCCAAGAATTCGGGACTACGCCTTGGGAGTAGGAGTACCGGAAAAGATGCGTTAAAACCGGTGCCAACTCCAGAGCACACGTCTTCAGCACAATGGGAGGGACTCCATCGGGCCCACTCGACTTGCTGACGTCCGGGGAGAAGAGTGCTTTGCGAACCGAGCGCTGTGTAAACCGCACATCCGGCATGGAGCACTCACATCGCGGGATGGTCGGCGGTGTGATCCCCCCGTCATCTAGAGTCGAGTTGGACGCAAAAAGAGAGCTCCACAGATCGGCTTTCTCCTTTGCGGCATGGGCCAGTGAGTCGTCCTCTCTGTGCAGAGATGGAAGAGATTGCTGACAGAAGTTCCCTTGGACAGCCTTGGCGAGAGACCTGAATGCACAGGTTCCCGAAGGAAGGCGAACTAGCTTCTCGCCAATTCTGCCGATGTGCTCAGACCTTGCCTTGGCAAACGCTTTTGAAGGACCTGGAAGCATAGTTATACTTCTTTTTAAGTGCGCTGGTGTTTACATCCCGACACGTTGATGCGTCAGCCCAGGCCCGGTAGCACTCCTGCTTATAGCGTGATGCTTTTTTACAGAAGCTACCAAACCAAGGCTGGGATCTGCCACCGATGGGCACCATAGAGGATGGAATAAAAAGTTCAATACCCTGAAGTATCACATCAGCTACAGAATCGGCAACAACGCTGGGATCTTCCGGCGAGAAGCAAACCCGCCCCCAAAGGTAGGATGCAAAAAAAGACCGCATCCCGTCCCAATCAGCTGACCTATAGTGCCAAACACGGCGGCAAGCTGCAGATCGCAACTGCTATTGGAGCGTGAGTGGCACCGTACTCCGGATCAGACAATGGTCCGAAGAGCCCAGAGGGGCATCGACGGAGACCTGATATCCGTCCGGATGAGAGGTCAGCAGAAGGTCCAACTGGGAAGGTACATGGTCTTCCACATCTGGGATCCGCGTAGGCGAAGTAACCAGTTGTGTTAGACCATATGCCAAAGAAAAGTCATAGACAGATCTACCTGCATGATCGGTTAAACGAGAACCAAGCCATTCAACGTGGTGGGCGTTTAAATCACCGAGTATCACGATCTCTGCGGATGGGTCCTGTTGTAGCACGGAGTCTGTAGCCATTTGGACGTGGTCGATGAGTCAGTCTGTGTCGACATTACCGCTATGGGACCTATAGAGGCACCCGTAGACGCGGGGATGGTCGTCGCTGTCTACGCTCAGCCATAGGATGGACAGGTCTGTACCTTCAAGACTGCCGAGGCATCGATAACAGATGTCCTCTCTGACGTATACGCAAACTCCAGCCCGGGGCACAAAGGAGTGTTCCAATTTGTACCCCGGGTAGGAGAGATATGAAGTATCAGCCGGGGAGGACACCTGAGTCTCGGTTAAAAAGAGTAAGGCCGGCTTCGTCGTCTCTAGATGGTAATGGACAGCGCTAAGGTTGGAATAAAATCCCCTGATGTTGCAAAAATTCACGGATAGCGTGACAGGGGTCGCCTTGGTTGTATTGCTCCGTTTGCCCCGAGCACCATTAGTCGCGAGCGGAATTTCCCCCCCAGAATACGCGAGGCAGCCTGAGCACCCACGCTCAGGAGTGAAGTAGTTTGGTCGTGGATGCTCAGCGAGGGATTCTCCAGGGTTGCTGGTACCCTCCTGGGGTAGTCTTTTATTTAATTCCACTACCATGTTGATGGGCTTCCGGTCACCTGCACTCACCAAGCGCAACGCAGAGGTAAACTTCTACTTCACGCTGGTATTCTGTGAGGTCGTGGTACCACCCCGGTTCGAGCTGGCCCATCCGTGCGACAGCAAAAGCTACCGCTTAGCTGTACCACTGTTAAATCTGTCTCTGTCTTTCTCCTTACAATTATGGTCACTATTCAATCGCCTAAAGCCTGTTATCTATTTCGTGCATACCGTTACCATTACAGTCTATTAAAGTCCACTGCTGGACATAGACCTTCCCCATAGATTGCCACATAGGGGTGGGATATTTGCCATAGTCGCTACGCTTGATAAGTGGGTTCGCAATCGATTTTTTAATTTTCAGTCGCTATTGGGAAGACACTATTGCCCATCTCCTGATTTGATTCCATCTGTCGCCTCTTACGACACCCTTGGTATAATATGAGTTATTGGGTCTCCTACATCGCCACTACACGATAAGTACCGATGCATAACTTGTTATCATTTTTGTTACTATAGTGTTACCCTTTGACTGTTAACTTACCCTTTGATCTTTCTACCCCTGTTGTTTATTTCTTTTTAGGGTTGTCTGGAAGAAATTGCTGTGTAGCAAAAATGCCGACTTTTGTTTTCCGTTATTATTTTAATATTTTGTAATGTTAATATTTTCGTCGTGTATAATAAGGAAGTACATAAGATGTACTGTATTGAATTGCATTGTAATATAAAAATGTGCTAATATTTTATTTTATCTTATGAATTCTTATCTGTGGATTGAAACGGCCCTTAATTAAAAACTTTCACAGTATCAAAGCGTTTGGTTGCAACGCTACGTGTCGAGGTTTAGATAACCGCACGCAACATTTGTGTGATAAATAATTGTACCAGTTTGTACGCTTACGTCAGTTATAGCTGTTGCTAGATCTGGCATTATATTTTTTTTTTTTTTATAGGATCGGGTGACAAATGAGCACACAGTCCACCTGATGGTAAGTGGTTACTGTGACCCATAGACATCTACATCTATCCTCAATAAAGACTCAAGATGCAGATGCGTTGTCACCCGTGAGGACTAAGATGGAATGCCTCTTTGCCAGTAAAAAGGGTCTCCGGTTCTCTACACTCACCATACGAAACACAGCAGCGTTAAGCTGCTATTTTACGCTGGTTTTCTGTGAGAGCGTGGTCCTTCCCCGGTCGAACCGACCCATTCGTGCTACAACCATAATATAGCTGCAGCATGGCTCTACCACGTATAAAATAATAATAAATATAAAAAGAACTTATTTCTACAGAAGATGCAGCAAACAAGCATGCGGCTTCAAGAACTACTTTACTTTACTTACTTTCTCCTTTAAAGCGTTCTACAACTTAGCTAAAAGAGCTCATGATTCTCCGCGCGGATACAGGAATAGCTACGGTAATATTGGACACGTCAGAGTATAATTTCAAAATAGAACAACTTTTATCGGACGTAAGTACATACAAAAAGATCAAAATAGACCCTACAACTAATACACTGAAAACAACTACCGACTTAATAAAAAAATACTCCGAAAAATTAAATCTCGAGGTGAATTCGACAATACTAGCATGTGCCAAACCACCGAGGTTGTATGGGTTACCGAAAATACACAAACTAAACGCTTCACTACGTCCCATAGTAAGCCAGATCAATTCACTAACTAACAAATAAGTTGGCACAACACTTGGCAAAAAAAATTGTCAACACCGAGCGGACACACCAGAGCTCAGACAAAGGATTCCTACCATTTTATTAGTGAGATAAATGATCTACATCTCGCTGATAATGAAACTATGGTCAATTTTGATGTTCAGTCACTATTTACATGTTTACCTATTGAAGACTGCATCTCAATTGTAACTAGGAAGCTAAAAGATGACAACATGCCTACAGAATATGCAGTATTACTCAAACACTGCCTCACATCTGGCTATCTATTGTGGAAGGAAGAATTCTACAAGCAAGTAGATGGTGTGGCGATGGGCTCGCCTGTATCTCCCGTAGTTGCCGAGATATTCATGGAGGACTTCGAGGAGAAAGCCCTTCTTACTGCTCCTGTAAATCCAAGATTCTACAAGGGGTACGTAGACGATACTTTCACAATTTTACCATCTGAAAAATTTACTGCATTTTTAGACCACCTTAATTCCATAAACTCTAAAATAAAATTCACAATGGAGTTAGAGGCAAACAATTCTTTAGCTTTCCTAGATGTTTTAGTCATCCGAAATCCTGATAACACTATTGGTCACACTGTGTATATGAAAAAGACCCATACCAACCGATATTTAAATGGTAAATCGCACCATCATCATCATCATCATCAGGTGGACATATCATGGCTAAAAGTGACGATGATATTTGTAAATTAACTTAGAAAAGTCGTCCCTCCTGAGAGCTTTCACAGCACGTGCTGCATCAATAGCTAAAGTGGCATAAAATAGTTTATGGCTGAATTGTTCCTTTTTAACATTATAAAAATAATCATCTACAGCAAAGATGTATCTTCTAAGGATAATTCACCGTAACTGTTTTGATGTAAAATCTCTCGCGCGACATAATAACAACGATTGCCGTCGGCGCGTCGTCGGTATATTGGTCAATCTAGGTCAGGAAATACCAGAAGAAAAAATAATTTATTATAAAAACTAACAAAAAGGTAACAAAAATTTGGATAAAGACTTAAAATTAATTATACCTACTTAATATTTAAGATACATTTGTTCAACGCGGACAAAGCATAGTAACATAAATGTAATGTAAAGTAAGGAAAAGTTGCAGCCTATTTACCTCCCATTGCTGCGCTCAGGCCTCCTTTCATTTATGAGAGGGTTTTAGGTCAAGGAATTGTCCACCGCGCTGCCCTAATAATATAATGTAATTAATATAATTTATATTATAATAATAATAATCTTTATTAAAAATTGTTACGAACAAATTGTTGCACTGATTCCTAAACTAGGATTAATTAAGTAATTACTTCATTATTAATGGTGGTCTCTTTCATATAGAAATAGATTTAACACTGTTACTCATTTCCAAATTGAATTTCAAATTTGATTAACTTTTTGAGTACCAAAAGCTTTTAACAGAAGATTTGACAACGTTTATTAATTTATCGATGTTGAAATTCTGAGATAGATTAGTTCTCAAGTAAAGACGCTTGACATGAATTGATCTCTCAAAGCATCTTAACTTCATAGAATCATTAAAATATTTTGTTACGGTTTTATTTCAGCTGTCATTTAAAATATTTAAAATGAAATATGATAGGATAGAATAAAATATATTTTTTTTATTCAATAAAGGCTAAAGCAAGCAAGAAAGCTAGGAGTCCTTGCAAAGGTGAGGCGATACTTCACTTCGGGACAGCTGCATATATAATATAAAGCATAACTCTGGTCGTGCACGGAGTATTGCTGCCATACATGAGTTGGTGCTGCAAAATTCAACCAAGCAGCTTGAAAATCAATGGAAAGGCGTGCTAAGAGGCTTATTGTGGACCCAAATTTGGTAAAAATCAATCTTAACAGCCTCGAACACAGGTACCAAATAGCCAACCTTTTAGTTTTCTACATGTTGCATTTAGGAGAGTGTGCGCAGGAATTGCATAATTTAATATCACCCTCTCTCTTTCACAACAACCATACGTTCGGCCAGTCTCCACTTTGTTGAATTACCACGCATTCGAACCAAACGGTTTGCTACATTTTATACGTGGTAGAGCCATGCTGCAGCTATATTAGTAGTATAGTTCTAGCACGAATGGGTCAGCTCGACCGGGGAAGGACCATGCTCTCACAGAATACCAGCGTCAAATAGCAGCTTAATTCTGCTGTGTTTCGTATGGTGATTGTAGAGAACCGGATACCCTTTTTTTACTGGAAACGAGGCATTCCATCTTAGTCCTTATGGGTGGCAACGCATTTGCATTTTGATTCGCAAACGAGGATAAATGTAGATGGAGATATCTATGGGCCACAGCAACCACTTACCATCAGGTGGACTGTGTGCTCGTTTGTCAACCTATACTTTTAAAAAAATACATCGTTCCTCCATCCGATTACAATGTGGGTGTCTCAAAGGCAAGAGTTAATAAGATTTTGTTAAGTTAGTACGCTTCACCATCTTAGGCTATATCACCACTTACCATCGGTGGGATTGTAGGTAAGCGCTCTCGTAGAATAATATTTGAAAAAATATTTATTACGAGAAAACATATTGAATGTCATTAAGCTTTACCATTGAACAAAAACCCCTGCTCTGGGAAGAACCAGCAAGAAAGCCAACGGGACTTTTTTAATATTAATTAAGAACATATTATTTCATACAATTAATATGAAAGTATTTAGAAATATATTCGACTAGGTACATAAAATCTCACCGAGTCAAAGACCACCTACTTCTATATGGCACGCTGCTGATACTTCCTTCGATACTTTCACATCCATACATTGCACACATGCTCGTAGATCAAGGGAACACTTAATTTTTCTCATTAATATATCGCTAGTTTGGTCGATTAAACTATACCAGTCACAAAATTTTCTTGCTAACCACATTTTTCTCTTTTCAGACCACTTCTGACCCTATATCTTACAGAAAATTTTGATTTCCAAGCAACACTTACAGTAATACTTACCGATCATAATACTACATGCACATTATTATATAAACTATATAAATTCGATAAAACTATACCAGTCACAAAATTTTCTTGCTAACCACATTTTTCACTTTTCAAACAACTTCTGACCCTACATCTTACAGAAAATTTTGATTTCCAAGCAACACTTACAGTAATACTTACCGATCATAATACTACATGCACATTATTTTAAAAACTATATAACTATAACAAAAAAATCAACAATTATTTTAATATTTAACTTCTCCTTTTTTATTAAACGTTAAAACAATTTTCTTGCATTGTACGTAGCGAAGGAAAGCTTACAGAAATGTTTGCTTCATTATTTGTTCTTCTTAAGACAGTAGATAATAAAGGAAGAATACGAAAACATAAAGTTGGACTTAGCAAATTACAGAACCACCATTTCTTTGTACAATCTACGTTCAGTTTCTTGAATACGTTACTCTACTCGTACTGTGAAAGAAATTTTTATAATAACTAACGTTGAAATATCCGATCCGCATAAAAATTAAAATAATTTGTCTTACCTGGTTTGAAGTGCACCTCCTGCCCTTTCTTAATTACCTGTACTAGAGGAGCGCGGAAGCGAATGTGAGGAAGAGTGGATAGGTACCACACATTATTCTCATTGTTTACGCGGATCTTTATTATTTTTTTTATTAAAATATAAGTTTTCGCAAAGGCGACTGATTCTATTAATTATCGGTATAACAATATCCATTCCCCATTTTGTGGGTGTCGTAGGAGGTGATAGAGGGATATTAAAACAGAAAACAAGCAGCAACATTTTTCTGATAAGAACTCTAGTAAGGTCTTGGAAAAGCATGTGAATATGTTTTCGAGCAAATTTTGAAGATCCAATTGCTATGAGCATAAAATTGAAATGATCGATGATGAAACCATAATTACTAGATGATATCCTATTCCAAATGCATATACATCGAAAATGGAAGAATAGTTAAGAGCTTATATGTAAACAAGTAAATAATGTAGCATAAAGGCGTCTCGTGGGTGGCCCTTAGAAATAATTATTAAATTATTGGCCTGAATCCATTAAATTTATGAGTAAGACATTCGTTATAAGACAATAGAATGTTAATAATAAACAATGTTAATTTCTCTATATAGATTGTAAGATTATTTTGTAATAATTTTTATTTAATAAATATGGAGAGATGGATCAGGGTGAATGGCTTAATCACATTTATCCTATGTGTGAGTATATAAAAGGTGGCATTATTGAAATAATGTTTCAAAGATGTAAAGATAAATGAATAAAAAGAGAAGTCAACAGTTGACTGAGAACTATAGTAACAACATAATATACAATGATTTGTTCAAGTTGATAATTATGGTCTTATTACATTTTGATAGATGTGGTTGGAGAGGTGTTGGTGGTGGCCATTCCCTGAGGTAGGAGAATTTGATAACATACACTGTATTGTAAAATATTGAAAGAGTTAAGAACAGATAATATATAAACAATTATTTGAGTTTAGTGTATATGCTCTCAAAATAGTAAATTTTATATTAACGACTCCACTATGTGGGTCATTACCATAAAATTTGGGGGTTGATTGTGACGAACCATTATTATTATTATTAATAAATAATAATTAATTTCAATAAAGAGACATTTAGAAATGTCATACATATAACGTTTTGAACAATTAGTTATTGTGTATTATAATATATATCGCTCTCCAGCCACCGAAAAGGCACCAGCAAGAAAAGAAAAAGTACAAGTTCCTCCTCACCGCCGCTTGCCTCCAGTTAAAAGCAAGACCAGCGCGTTTTATTCCATTTTTCGCACGGCATTACGGCGATCCGTAATATTAATGGTATGAATATTGTGTATTTGTACAGCGATCTTTTTGAGCCGTTGCAAACAACCTAAACAATGTCCACTCACGATGGCTATTGACGCCGAACCGAACTGAGTGGACATTGTAAACTACTCTGTGACTGTAGCTCCTCATTTACAAAAATAATTTGCATACAAGGCTACCAAATTAACGAAAATTTCGCCATTTTGGAGCCGAAAATTATTTTATTAATAATTATAGCTAAACAAAACAAAATTACACTGCCATTTACATTCAGTGGGTTCCCACATGATAGATGAAGAGATTAAAAAATAGATTGAGTTAAACAATCGATACTTGTATTTTCAAAAGTTATATTGTTTACAAGCCTTGGGGACATGATAAATCCACACCATAAGCCACTAAAACCCCTTTTTTATTTAAAAATAGCAATTAATCGATTTAAAAAAAATATTATTAAGTTCAACAATCATTTATCTTTCTAACAATATGCTTTTTATATCATTTGTATGTATAATATGATTGCTAGATACGATTTTATTCGATAAAATGTTGGAATCTTAATTGCGCTTTCCCTTAAGGTATGCAATAAATAAATAAATAAAATATTTATATCAAACACCAAATACAATTGCTTCGCTCTTCCACATAAAAAAAAAACTGTGGGGGACGCCGTGTGCGGTAAGCGCCAACCAACCAACTCACTCCCCCCGAAGAGGTCGTTAAGTTGGGAACTGGACCTTAGTCCATAGTAAAATAACTGGCATACCAGTAAAACAGGGCTTGGCCCCTGGGTAGTGTGTAAGTACAAACATCGACCGAAGTCGCGCATGTCAGTGCATGTAAACGCCATACAGAATATGATCGAATCCAGCCACAGTGAATGTACGTCACA